GGCGCTTGGAAGTTGCTGGAACTGAAGCTGCAGGTTCATGTTTCGTATGCATAGTATATATAATAAGCATCTTGTTTAATCTCCAGCTAGTATTAAGACCAAGTTATTGTAAATTTTAGCTTTTTTTTTTCTTCTTGTTGATGTGAACTGTGTACATCGTTGTTGCTTATGTTGATTACAGTTGCATTTTGGATATAAGCGAGAAGGAGGCCAGAACACTCCCAGGATAAGTGACCCACTGGGAAATTGCTCGTGAGTTCCCAAAAACAAAACCGTGAGGGAATGGTAAACCCAAAGCAGATAATATCGTGTTACGGTAGTGGAATGGGCTCGGGAAGTGGTCCGCCCCGGGCTGGGATATGACAAATGGTATCAGAGCCAATCCCTGGTCGGAAGTGTGCCGACGAGGACATCGGGCCCGGGCGGGGATGTGACATGTGGACCCTACTGTTGATCAAGAGTTGACTTTTGGTCAATATGAATTCGGTAATGGATAAAAGAATGAATTGTGAACTACGAAAGACTTGATCCCGCTCAAGGGTACGTAAGTAGTCTAACAGTGTTAGATGCAGCCTTAAATAATCAAGAATTAGGGGGGTGTATTCAATTGAGAATTTGAGAGATTTTAATGGATTTATAAATCTATGGATTTTTATGGAGTTTAATTGATTTGTAGAGATTCTATATAAAATTTTAATTCAATTCCCTCGAAATCTCATCGGGAGAGGTGAGATTTGTGGATGCTTAAAATACACTACGAAATTTATCTAATTCCCTCTAATTCTTCAACTTTCTCAAATTCTTTAAAATCAATTTCTAATTGAATACACCTAGAATGTTATGAACTTTTTTAAAATCCTAATTAAATACACCCGGATTTCTAAGGATTTTAATAAACTAGCTTAAAATTCTAATTGAATACACCTTGAATTTCAGAGAATCACATAAAACCCTGATTGAATACCCATAGATTCATTAAAAGAATTAAAATGCCTCAAATTCCCAATTGAATACACCTCCTTAATCTTTAGAATGGAAATTAACATAAGAAAAGAAAATGGTGATAAATTGAGAATATAATCATATGTCTTGGTGAGAGAATTCTGGAATTAAATCATGGGTGGAATTAAGGCATTTAATTAAAGAATCACGATTAATGGTAGTTAAATAAACAAGAGTTTAATTGGGCCCATCATTAGAATTATTTCCCGAAAATATATATTTTGGGGGCAGGACGTTACAGCCAGAGGAGATGGAGGAAGGAAAACTAAAAAATAAAAGGCAGTGCAAACCGACGAAAAATGCTAGGGATGTGGCGAAAAATGCCTAAGAAGGAGCATGAAGCTCAAATCTGAGATAAGCACAAGAATAAATAGAGACCAAGCTAAAAAAGTTTGGGATAAAACTCAAGGAAAAATGAAAAGATAGAAAAAGGGAAGAAGAGAAAGAGGGAAGAAGAGAAAGAGGGAAGTAGGAGAAAAGGGAGGGGGTTGCTGTCGGCACCCAAGCTTAAAAGGCTTAGGGCCTGCGACTATGACTTTTCCTTTGTGTTTTCAGCGACAGAGAATGGAGAGCTTTTTTTTTTTTTTTTTTTTTTTTCAATATGAATAAATAAGGCTTGTGATGTTAGAAGTAAATAGTATTTGAATACAAGTGGATAAACGCTTAAAAAAAATTCTTGCACTTCTATAATAACATATGACATACCACTCATATTCTGAATATATTGTAAAATCTCGCTATCCATGGGGCCCAGCCAAGGCAATAGTTGCCGCCCACTACATCATTTGGAAAAGAAAGGCTAAGCATGATAATTAGTTATTCTTAATTGATAGGTTGATAAGAGCATGTGGCCAACCAATTATGACACCAATGCTCACATGAGCAAGAAAGTTTTAATTATAATAAGCGAAATCCAAAGCGTGTTTAGGGTTTTTTTAATTCTCGATTAAGATTAGGCTTTGATCATCTTTGGAGTACCTAATAAATTAATTATTGGCTTGACATGCCTTTCTTTTTTTCTTCTTTCCTCTTTTGAGTGAGGACTTGTCTTCAACTAGATTTTACCTAGTTTATTGCCTTTCAAAGGGACGTCATGTATAGTGCACATTTGTTTTTTACATTGGAACGAGTTGAAACCTATACTTTATTTTTGGGTAAGTCTTCGATAATTCAGATTATTGGGCTGTCTGGTTTTATATCAATTAGACTGGCAATTAAGTAAAAATAATATATCATACAATCATAAACGTTAATTTTTCGTACTAATGAGTAGTTCATATATTGAAAACAAAAATTGTGTATTTTGATCTTAACCAATTAATTACTTTACTCTTGCTCAATTCTAACCCATTACTTCACTCTCGCTCGCCACCTGAGTTGACCATCGCGGCTTATATATTAAAAATCTTTGGATGCAAGGAAACATTGACATCTTCTTCAATAAATTGATAAGTAATCAACTCCTATGGTGATTATGATTCTACTTTGGAAAAGAGATGGATGGTGTCATTTCTTTGTTTTAGGTGCCAAAAATGTGGAAATCGGATCCTTTTTGTGAGATTCCAAAGATCTGTGAATCATATCTGTTCATCGTATATCGTACGGTTAGAAATCATTTTAAATATTTTTATTAAAAATTAAATACAAACACTACCTGACAAAAACTGATCACACGATGTATGATGAACGGACATGATTTACGGATCCCTAGGATCCTCACCAAAAGAATCCAGAGAGGATCTTGTTGGAAAAATGTGAACCGAACCACTAAAAAAAAGTGATTTATGCACTCTCGTATTTATTTTTAATACGAATAATGTTAGGAAGACTAAAATTTTAAACCAAATTTGCAAATCAAATGATGTGTTATTAATAGGAAATAAGTATATTAACACTTAAGTAATAATTCAATCATCAACATCCACATCATTTGGTTTATAAATTTGGTCTCTCTAGTATTATCCTTTTAACATTTAGATTGAACCAATCAAAACAGAATCAAACAAAAAAAATAAACTTAGAGCACTTGAGTACGAAGAAAAAGAGTGTAAAAATTATTTTCACACTCAAAATTGGACCAGAGATTCAATTTGAAACTTCCTAACATATATAAGTTATAATTTCAAAAACCGTTTGTTTGTTCATATTCCCTTTTAATGGAATAGGGTCCTATTCGGATCCTCTTAGTGAAGATCCTAAGGAACACTTCATCATGTCCGTTCATCTGTCATCATGTGACCATAAATCTATTTGATTTTTTTTATTTAAAATTGAACATAAACAGTACCTAAAGAAAATTGGCCGCACGATATATGATGAACGGATACGATAAAGGGATCCCAAGAGGATCTTCATACCCTTTTAATAACATTTTTTTTAGTGCATCAATATAGTTTTACACTAAGGACAGGAAATAACATTAATACAGAAAGCAAAACAACCTCCAAGTATACTCCCCTAAAGGCTGTGAAGGGGTATCCCAAACATCGTAAAATTAAGCTTCCAAAACTGCAAGAGGCCACTAAATACTATGATCTGGTGATATTCCTCTTCACTTAGAAGTGAGATGTCTTAGGTTCGAATCTCGTGAATTCGATACCAAATTAGACTGCTCATTATGTGACTTAGCCGAACTCCCCTTTCCCTTAGTATAAAAATATTGACGTACTAAAAAAAACTGCAAGAGGAAGACCTGTACGGATGGGAAATGCTACTAGTTCCCTAGAAGAAGCTCTGAAGCTTGTAAAAAAGGAGGAAAAAAATGAACAGAAAAATATGCATCTACCGTCTTCGTATTCAAGCCAGATGAAGGTCCAGATTGGGGTCTGCTCATCTTGTTGGAACACCCAAAACTTTGGGCAACCGCAGCATCGTATGATGTATCCCATACCTTAATATTCAATCAAATACCAAAATTAGCAATCGGGATCCACCGTAGAAGAGCCGCCTTTCAAAATAATTTTGACGGATGTGACGGGATGAGGTAAAGTGAATAAAAATTAAGAAAAACTAATGAAAAGGGTTTGAAAATTTTGAGTTTTAACTATAAGGACAAAATAAAGGGTAAAGTGAATATTAGCAGGTTTGACTTTTTAGTGTAAAAATATAATTTTTCGTTAAAGTGAACAATACCATGAACTTTTCGTTAAAACTCCCTAAAACACATTTTGAATTGTGAGAATAAAGTTGATTTTCGAGAGTTGTGGGCTTAAATAAGCCTTAAAAATTCATCTTTCGTATCACGTAGCAGATTTTCCGAATCCACTCAACAAATGGTGATCAGCCCAATATCACTATGCCACAGACAAGGCCTATTGGACCCGTATGTGGGCTACCACAACTTGCTGAAATTGGGCCGGTTCAGTAGTGCTTACGAACCAATGGAAAATATCTATTGACGTGGGACCCGATAAACGATAAAATCCTCGGCACCTATCCAGTTACTAAAGTCGGTAAAAATAAGATCAAGATTAACCAAATACCAACACGTGTCGAAATCTGACACGTCTCACCATCCCAGTTTCAAGAGATATTTTTTAGTATGACTGGCAGACAAAATAGTACATCACGTGTCATTTTACATATGGTATGACATGTGTGTTAAAATGTTAATAATTTAAAAAATAAAATTTCTCACCACTTACATAAAAAAAACGTAATGTACCGTCCGTGTTCATGTAACAATAAAAATTTCCCCAGTTTCAATACACGACGGATTTTGATGTACGGACGTAAGCTAGTCCCCAACTATCGCATATGGACGCGGTGGAACCGTCACGAGCCTTCAGCTTGACGACAAAAGAATGGATCTTATTTTGTTCGACTCTAACACACTACACGTGTCGTCATAAAAACTGCCAGGTGTCCTCAGCTGCTAACGTGGCATGAAGGCATGGATTTACTCTAGTGCATGACATGCTTTTCTACGCGGTTTGCCTATATAAGCATCCGCATCTGAGATCAAATTAGTCGGAAATATTTCATCAAATTGCAATCAGTTTGAAACAATGGCGCACTATCAGAACCAACACGGTGCAACACCCCAAGAAACAGATCAGTTTGGAAACCCAATTCAACATGGCACTACCGGAGCCACTGGCTTCGGTACCGCCACAACCGGGTACGGGACTACTAACGATACGTACACAGGAGGCCAGCAGCAACAGAAAAGAGGGATGATGGACAAGATCAAAGACAAGATTCCAGGGACTGGTGGGGCACGTAGGGCTGACGACCACTACTCATCGCATGCCCATACCGGTATTGGCACGACTGGAACTGGGTACGGGACTACTGCCGCCCCCTCCACCGGAGGGGAGTACCGTGAAAGGGGGTTGATGGACAAGATCAAGGACAAGATTCCAGGGACTGGGGGCCGTACGGACCATCCTACACCTTACGGTGGGACAACCTACACCGGAGAGCACCAGCATGAGGGGATTGCGGACAAGATCAAGGACAAGATTCCGGGGACTGGGCATAGGGATGATGCCTACTCATCACATACGACCTCCACCACCGCACCATACGGTGGAACCACCGGACAGCACCACTCCACCACCGGACAGCACCACTCCACCACAGCACCATACGGTGGAACCACCGGACAGCACCACTCCACCACCGGACAGCACCACTCCACCACAGCACCATACGGTGGAACCACCGGACAGCACCACTCCACCACCACACCATACGGTGGAACCACCGGACAGCACCATGAAAAGAAGGGCATCATGGACAAAATCAAAGAAAAACTTCCCGGTGGACACCACTAAATACAAATATACGCATATCTGTGAATTCGTATATTTGAATTATAGGGCCTGTCAGTTGTTTTAATATGCTAATAATCGGTGCTTGGCGTGACTGTGTGAACTTTTTTCTTACGTGCACGAGTGAGCCGCGAGCGGTTCGCAGTGTCGTTTGTGTTTTTGTAGTATGTACTTTGTATGTCGTTTTATCAGTGGAGCAATTACATTCTGGTTTCTGTTTAGGCGTTCTTTGATTGAAAATCTTACTGTACCAAAAGATAAGTTAAATAAACATCCAATTCTATAAATTTTACTACGCCTCCACTGAAATGGAGCATAATCTAGAGGAGGGATAATCATTCTCCGGCAAAGTCGAAACTCATAAAATATCATTAAATTCCATACAAGGGATACATCTCCAGCAAAGTCAATATTTTTTTTATAATTTTGATGGCAAGACTTCCTTTATGTATAGGTCGGGCACGGTAATCGTAAGCAACCTCTTCAAAGATATAGCGCAAATTAATGTGTATAACCTATTAGATGTAGAGAGTATCACCTCTGTTTATGGTTTAATCAAATCCATTTTTAGGTAGTAGTTCTATTCTAATTACAATTAAAAATTGCTTTCTTATAGACTACATGCGATAAAAACGAAGATGGTTCGAATCAATCTTAATCTAACAGTGATCATCATTCATCATAGAGGACTTTGTAATCCACGCTTAAATGTAGACAGTAGAGAGTGAAAATTGAAGAAGGGTATATTCAAGAGAAATAGTTCTAGCAAGTAAAATGGACGAGCTACTTTCGAATGAATAGTAATTTGCTTGAAAAATAATTCTATTTAAAACACATTTGCGTCAAAGAAAATGCTAAGGAGATATCTTTGTATAATCTTGTGTATTACATAATGTAACAAGTGATCGAACATGTCAAGTTAATTAATTAATTTTATTTAATATGTGATACATAATATAAAAAGGTGGTCTTTCTAACATTACACTTGAAATTAATTTTTAACATTATTTGTTTTTCAACAAATCATATTATCTACACTAAAAGTGAAAGTACAGGCTTAACCTTGGACTAGTAATAATATGGTTCAAATTCGTTATTTTATGAAAATCAAACTTTAGACCTTTCATATATAAATAAAATAAAATTCCAATAAATCGTAATATTATGTGACCTACTTTTATTTTGAAGTGTAGAAAATTTGTGTGTAGCAGAAGATTTAAAGGTGTGGAGTTTGTCGACATAGGATTCTTTTTATTAATGTCTGGGTTGTTCTAATCAAAAGAAAAATTAAAACGACAATATAACTTATAGGGTAATATCTTAGAGAAACTATATTTAGAAATAAAATTTACAAATTAAATAATATGTCACGAATAAAAAATAAACACATTTATTAATATTTAAATAATAAATATTATTAATTTTCATATTATTTAATTTCCACACTTTTTCTATAATTTTAGTCTCTATAAGATTATCCTTTTAACTTATAGCATGTCGGTAAGACCTAGAAGATCTACAAGTTTATGACCAGTAGATATACCAAATTACCAACCAGTCAATAAGACCTAGGCTAAAACCAATAGATACTACCCACGTGGGAGCTAGCTAGTGGAACAAGTACAGAGGGCACGTGTCACCAATCCCATGGTCACCAGGGGAGCAGGTATTCGTATCGTTTTCTTTTTTATTGTTCAAAGTTCAAACAGGTATTCATCTCTCTTTATCCATATGCCCCCACCCCCCACCCCCCACCCAAAAAGCAACAAAATATCTTGCCGACGTTAATTTTCACTTGTCATCATTTTCCCAGCAGTGCCATGTCTCCAAGTTGTTAAAATGCCTTACGCTCACCGCTATATCTGCATGCCTTGCTGGTGCAAATCAGTTGTCTATATAAACCAACCAACCCAACTCCTAATCAAACACATCATCCCAAGCAAATCACTAATATCTCACTGCAATTGTTGTATTAGTCGCAAAACATTGTTACTACAGTTAATCTGTTTGTTGTTCTTTTGAAAAATGGCGAATTATGGTTCAACACCCGAAAAAACTAACGAGAACTACGGGAACCCGACTTATAACGGTAGTGCAGGAGCCGGTAGGACCGACGAGTTAGGGAACGTGGTTCAACACGGTCGGACTGATACTGGCTACGGGACTGCTCATGCCAAGCCTGGTGATGAAGTGATTGTTGGACGTCATGGCGGCCCTGCCGTACTTCAGCGCTCCGGAAGCTCTAGCTCTGTAAGTTCTCCTCTTTTCACCTCTATATAAATGTAGTTCTAAGTTAATTCATTAGATGCATGAGATATGCTACAAATCTATGCGTACTATGAATAAACTTTTCTTGTAAGAGGTACTTATGTTGCTAGAAAAATCAAAGAAGTAATAATTTTCTATTGTCAAATTTAACATTTTTGCAAGAAAAATTGCGCGCACCAACGATGGGCTCATTAGTGATCTAAATTAATAACATATTACAAATTCGTATCTTGAAGAATATTGTTCGGAAAATTAGTGTATTTTGTTCCCTTGTTAGATTTATGCATCTCTGCGCATTTTGTTTTTTCAATTATCAACACGATCAATGTTTCAAATTCAAATATTACATCAACATGTTATCTTACCAGATGGAACAATTTCTTAGGGTTATAAGTATGATATGTGCATTATATTTACATATATTTTTTGTAACAAGGTCTAACATTCTATTATTGTAGTCTGAAGATGATGGGCTAGGTGGAAGAAGGAAGAAGGGACTAAAAGAAAAGATAAAGGAGAAGCTACCAGGTGGTGGTAACAAAGATGACCAGTACACTCATGGAACGCAGACCACTACACCTTACGGCGGTGGGACGACCTACACAGGTGAAGGAGAGCACCACCAGAAAAGGGGTGTGATGGACAAGGTAAAGGAGAAGCTGCCAGGTGGTGGTAACAAGGATGACCAGTACTCTCATGGAACGCAGACCGCTACACCTTATGGTGGTGGGACCACCTATGCAGGAGAAGGAGAGCGCGACCAGAAGAAGGGTGTGATGGACAAGGTGAAGGAGCAGCTGCCAGGCGGTGCTAGCAAGGATGACCAGTACTCGCATGCAAAGCCGACCACCGGTGCACATTACGGCGGTGGGACCACCTATGCAGGAGAAGGAGAGCACCACCAGAAAAAGGGTGTGACGGACAAGGTAAAGGAGAAGCTGCCAGGCGGTGCTAGCAAGGATGACCAGTACTTGCATGCAAAGCCGACCACCGGTGCACAGTACGGCGGTGGGACCACCTATGCAGGAGAAGGCGAGCACCACCAGGAGAAGGGTGTAATGGACAAGATAAAGGATAAGCTGCCATTTGGTGGCAGCAAGGATGGAGAAGGAGAGCGCCACCAGGAGAAGGGTATGATGGACAAGACAAAGGAGAAGCTGCCAGGTGGGCATAAGGATAACCAGTATTCTCATGACACGTCAACTACTGCTGCAACTTATGGTGGGACAGCGAACATAGGAGAGCACCAGGAAAAGAAAGGCATAATGGAGAAGGTCAAAGAGAAGCTTCCTGGCGGCCACAAGAAGTAGATCATCATCTTTACTCGTGTAACTTTGTGTCTGGTGTATAATAAGGTAGTGCCTGGTGTGTGACCTCAGCTGTGTGATACGCAGTCGTCCAGCACTGTCTTTTATGTATTCTGTTAAACATGTAACTTTGTGTTTCGTTCCCTTTGTATGAATAATATATTTGTGTGCGCTAATATCTGGGAGCTGTATTATGCTAAGTGAAATTTAATGATTCGGTACGTATGACGTAACTTTAGTAAAACCGAAATAGCTATAAGCAAAAAATAAAAATTTGATATACTCTGAACATTAATAATCCTAATTGAAATCATCTAGATAGAAATTGAAATCATCTGAACCTCCATTAAAAATCCTAATTGAAATAAGAGACGTAGTGATAGTGAATTAGCGAAGATTTATGGTAGGGTGAGTGAAGAGAGAGACATGCGTCCTCGTCCTGACCCGAGCCCCCAATTTGAAACCCTAAGCCCCAATTCGAAACCCTAACCTTAATTCGAAATCCCAAACACAGAGAATCACTTGAGAGAACCAGAGGTGGGGATGAAGTCGTGAGATGTGGTGGTTGCTGGAGTGGAGACAGTTCGTCAGAGTGAGATTGTTAAACGGTGGGTGGCTGCTGAGCTTCGAATCCGAGAAGGAGAAAGAGTCTGAGACTAAGTGAAGGCATATGAGAAAGGCAAAATGAAATGAGAGAGTACGATGTCAGCTCGGTTTTAGATTGAGTGGAAGGAAGGGTGGTTTCGGTTTTGAAGTGAGTAGGGGTGGTTTCTGGGTTGTAGAGAGAGAGAGAGAGAGAGACAATACGAGAGAGAAGATATGGAAAATAAGTGAAAGATAAAGGGTTAGGTGGTTTATGGGTTGTAGAGAGAGAATACGAGAAAAATGACTGATGAGACAGAAAATAAGAGAGAGACAGACATAGTTCTGTATAGAAAACAAGCACCCATGACCCATCCATCCTACTTCACCACACCACACACCCATCCTACTTTTGTCAGCACCACACCACACACTAACATATATATATATATATATATATGTTACATTAGCAAAGTTCGGTTCGGGAATACCGAATTATTCAAAGTGTGAGACCGAATCCCAAACCAAAATATTCGGGATCAGTTCGGTTTTGGTATCAAAATTTTCGGGATTTTTGGTTCGGTATTTTTTCGGTTCGGTTTCAGTATGGTTTGGGATTTTCGGTATTTTTTTTCCAGCCCTAAACATAATGCACCATAATTATAAAAATGTTGTTGTAAATAAAAAAAATTCATGCACCACCGTACCACGCCGTAATATAAAAAATAAAAAATAAAAACCTTTCACATGTGTAAGTAATAATTCATGTACCTCAAGTTATTATTAGTGAATATCTTTTATTTTTTAACTATTAATTTTCATACAACAACAACAAATTTTTTTCCCATTAAGTAAGGTCAGCTATATGAATCATAGAACGTCATTGCGCTTAGTTCTGTGTCATGTCATCCGTTAGATCCAAGTACTCAGTCTTTTCTTAGTGTCTCTTCCAAAATTTTCCTGGGTCTTTCTCTACCCCTTTGGCCTTGGACCTCTGTCTCATAGTCGCATCTTCTAACCGGAGCGTCAGTAGGTCTTCTTTGCACATGTCCAAACCATCGTAGCCGAAATTGAAGGAAAGATGAGAGAAAATCGGTTACGGTGGTTTGGACATGTGCAAAGAAGGCCTATTGACGCTCCGGTTAAAAGATGCGACTACGGGACAGAGGTCAAAGGTCGAAGGGGTAAAGGAAGATCTAGGAAAACTTTGGAAGAGACTCTAAGAAAAGACTTAGAGTACTTAGATCTAACGGAGGACATGACACAAAACCGAGCGCAATGGCGTTCTAGGATTCATATAGCCGACCCCACTTAGTAGGAAAAGACTTTGTTGTTATTGTTGTATGAAAATTAATAGTTAAAAGATAAAAGATATTCACTAATAATAACTTGAGGTACATGAATTATTACTTACACATGTGAAAGGTTTTTTTTTTATAATTTTTTTTATTTTTTTTATTTTTATATTACGACGTGGTACGGTGGGGCATGAAATTTTTTTATTTACAAAAACATTTTTATAATTATGATGCATTATGCGCGATGTACAATGTTTAATGTTCACATTAAACCCTATTGCCTTTTAAGAATTTCAAAAAGTACAGTTGAACCAAAAGAAGATAAAAGTAATTCACCATATTTTAGTTTTGAATGAATTTAAAATTTAAAACTTAAAAAAAACAAAAACAGAAACAAAGTACTCCCATTGGTGGGTGGTTTCATGTTTTTGCTTCATTTGTAAGCTATATGTTTTAGTTTATTTATATACAATTGGTATCATTCTTCTAATCACGCGCCTCTAAAGATGTCTTGCGTTAGTTGTTTTTCATTGTAATTGTTAAGATATATTTTTCTAAAAGTATGGTACCAAGTATGTATTAAGAATACAAATGTAATTACACCTACAAGAGATAATGCTTATAGACTAAGGAAATTTAGTTAATTTTGAAGGTTTTTCTTGTCTGTTAGTTGTGATAGCTTTTGTATAAATACCCAAAGTGTAATGTTATTCATTTGATGAATGGAAAATTACTTTTCCTAATATGGTATCAACCACCTTTGGTCTCACGACACCTCTTCGATCCAATTTTCCCGCTTCTCTCTGCACCGCCTAATTTTCTTCGTCTTCTCCAATCAATTGATCGATTTCTTGATCTTGACCATGCTTTCTTCTTCAACCTACAGTTATGGAGACCTCTGCATCTCCTTCTTCGAAATCGGATTCTCCTGTTCCTTCGTTTCCTAATGTAATTCCAAACCATAACTCTGCAATTTCTTCTTCCATTACAATCCAAAATATTGGATCCATGGTTCCGATCAAGCTCACTACTACAAATTATCTGACATGGAACGCTTTGTTTGCTCCGATCTTCCGTTGTTACAAACTCACTAGTCTAATTGATAGAACTATGGCGGCAGTGCCCAAATTTCTTCTTGATTTGTTAGGGAATCAGATTGCAACTCTCAATCCAGCCTATGTCACTTGGTTTGAGAATGATTAAAACATTCTTATCTGGATTAATTCAACTCTTTATAAATCATTAATTCCTTTCACGGTTGGCGTGACTTTTGCTCGAGAACTTTGGGCGAAATTGGAATCACGACTTTAAAGGTTTCTGCCTCTGTTACAAATAATACGTGGATAATTGATTTTGGTGGTACTGAACATATGACTTGTGATTCTAGACAGGTACAAACCTTAAAACCATCCACCAAAACTATCGTGAGTGTCACCAACTGTAATCTTGCCCCTATTATCGGGGAATGAACTGTCTCCCTTTCAGATACCCTTAGTCTTGATACCGTGCTTGTTGTTCATTCTCTTGATTATAATTTATTATCTATTTCTCAAATAACCGTCGCCCTATATTGTCTTGTGAGTTTTTGGCATTCCTTTTGTGTCTTTAAGGATATTCGGACTCGCAAGACGATTGGTTATGGTATTAGAAGGGGAAACTTTACTACTTGGAGATAACATCGAACAGTACCCAGATGTTGACACAAGCTATTACTGTGGAAGGACCTCAAGGGGAGCAGAACAAAGCTTTGAAGGTTTGGTTGTGGCATCATAGACTTGGACATGCTTCTTTCGGTTATTTACGAAAGCTGTTTCCTAAAATATTTCTTAAGAATGATGTTTCTAGCTTTAAATGTGGTGTTTGTGAATTGGCTAAAAGTCATCGTACTTCGTTTTCGCCCAGTTTGACAAAAAGTTATGTTCCATTTATGATAATCCATTTTGATGTTTGGGGACCATCTAAAACTGCTACATTTGGTGGTGGTTATTGGTTTGTTACTTTTATTGATGATTGCACATGTATGACTTGGGTTTGTTTGATGAAGTCCAAAAGTGAAGTTACTTCCTTGTTCAAGCAATTTCACAAAATGGTGCAAGTGCAATATAAGTCACGAATATAGGTTCTCAGAAGTGATAATGGTGGCGAGTATGTGAAGTCTGAACTTTGTGCCTTTTGGGAACATTAGGGTATCGTTCATCAAACTATGTGTCCATATACTTCACAACAAAATGGAGTTGTAGAACATAAGAACCGTCACCTTCTGAAGTTTGTTCATGCTTCCTTACTCGAGGCATGTCTCCCGTTGTCATATTGGGGAGAAGTTCTCACCTCATATGTGTATCTCATTAATCATGTTCCATCCCGGTCAGTTGATTTTCAAACACCACTTCAGGTTCTCTCTTCACATGTTGATGCTCATGTAGTACCAAATCTTCCACCTTATGCGTTTAGCTGTGTGGCCTTCGTTCATCACAATAAACAACAGATGAGTAAGCTTGAACCTCAAGCCTTACTGTGTATGTTTGTGGGTTATGCCTCAAATAAAAAAGGATATCGCTACTATCACCCTCCGACTAAGTTGTTTGTCACTGTGGATGTTGTATTTCATGAAAACGATATGTACTTTGTCCATTCCGAGTCTGGACTTCATGGACAGAATCAAGTAGAAGTTCAAACTCTTGATTATACTATTCCTGATATAGAAATTGTGAATCATTTGGATTTAAATGGTGATATATTGGAGACAAGTGGTGATGATTCACAAGAAAATAATATTGTGAATCATTTGGATTTAAGCGGTGATGTCTTGGACAAGTGGTGATGATTCACAAGAAAATAATGATGTGAATAACTTGGAATTAGGTGGTGATGTCTTGGAGTTAAGTGGTGATCATTCACATGAAAACAATGTTGAAAACTTCGAAAGGGACGAACCGACACAGCTGGAAAATGTTGTACCTTCTTCACCATTGGACAACTCTTTGCCAACTTCCTCACCATTGAACAACTCAGTGATGCCTGCTATCTCACAATCGGTCTCACCACCTTTGAGCCCTAATATCCATAATCAATTATCTTCGCTCCCGGATACACCACCACCATGTTGTCTCCCTAACTGTGTCAACCAAGGTATTCCTAAACTTACTTGCGAAGCAGACCTTAAATGCAAAACTAGGTACCTAATTAATAGACCAAACCCAAAATCTAATGTGTTATACCCGTTAAGTAATGTTGTGTCTACCAGCCACATGTCAGACTCAAGTAAGTCATTTGTATATCAATTATCTACTATATCTATTCCTAACATTGTGCAGAAGGCT